TTGCGGAAAATTAGATTGGAAAGCCTCAAGGAGGGCGAGGTCGGGCGCCGGTCGGTGGAAACGGCAACCGGGCGATTTCATCCGCGTCGGCGTGTCCACACGTCTCTCTTAGGCGTCCCGTTTTACGTTTAACAGCGCGTCAAGGAACGAAACAATCGCTAGCGAGAGAGATAGAGATAGATAGATAGATAGAGAGAGAGAGAGAGAGAGAGAGAGAGAACCTTCGAAATCGCGACGGCAAATTAATCGGCCGCGAGATTAATGACGCTGCGCGTGTGTATCGATCGGCGGATACGCGACGGTATCTCCGGGTCCGAGTAATATCTCAGGATTAGCCTCGCGTATCGCACACGTCGCGCCGGCACAAGAGGCTCGACGAGGGGGATCGAACTCCGCACGCGCGCGCGCGCGCGACTCGCAGCCGCAGATTAAATGAAAATGCGCGAGAGACGCATCTGCGTCGCGTCTCGCTTATAAAGAATTAATGGCATCTCTCGGGATTTATCACGCCAGAGCGATCGAAGCACCGCGGCTGGCGAACGATCGCGTGGCGACTTCATTTTCCGCGCCTTGTCGCCCCGTCGCCGTCGTCGTTCGCGGGTATTTATGTACGCGCGTCTACTACTCTTTTACATACCGTGCGCGCTGCGCGCTCGGACTCGCGTGTACACGGCTTTCCGCGAGGATAGCCATCTATAATTCAAGGCGTTACAAGTAAACGGTCGCGGAATAGCGTAAATCACGAAGCGCGCGCGCTTCGACGATGAGAAGCCCGAAGTTTCAGCCCTCCCTCCTCCTCCTCCTCCTCCTCCTCCTCCTCCATCAGCCGCGGCAGTCGGAGGCTCGAGAAGGTAAAGTGACGGGTACGGCTAAATTGCCATTGTCTCTACGCTAATCGATCCCTCTTCGAGGAAGAACAAAGAAGCACCTTTGCATAAATCCCCGCGCCATTACCGCGAAAGAGGATTCGTACCGGCCGCCGCGCGCGTCCTCCGGCGCCGCCGTCGAAGACGCAGGAAAAAATTCCGGGGAGAGGCGTTTATTATTATACACGGCGATTATCTCTCCCTCTCTCTCTCTCTCTCTCTCTCTCTCTCTAGGTATTCGAGCGTGCATGTGCGCACGCGCGCGCGCGCGTGTGTGTTTGTCTCTGGTGGTCCGCGGTTTTACTACACTTTCCAGAAGGAATCGGCGCTTCGCCGAAAGCGCGACGCGGCGCGGCGCGGCGCGGCGCCGCGTCGCCGGGGAAACCGGACGTTCCCGCGTGCGGGGAGAGCGCTCGGCGCAGCCGACGCGCGCCGCTTAAATTATAGTCGTTTGCGCGATTAAGCGTGCTCGGTATTTGCATGCGAGACGGCTGATTATCATCTGAAAATGCCGCTCCGCCACCAGCGTGGCACCGCCTGCCGAAAGGGACACACGCCGAAGCCGCGAGGGAACGCGCTTTTTCACGGTCCGCCGAGCCTTGACCGTCGCCGCGCGTTCGATGCACGAAGCTCGGCGGCGGTGGCGACGAAAGCGGCGTTGGACTCTGCTCGTTGGACCTGATACACGACGGCCCGGCTCGTAGTTGTCTTTAAAACCAGAACGACCGGGTCTGTCATGCGCGAACGCGCGCGCGCACGGGAAGATAGCGAGAAAAAGACCGGCTAATCCCGCCGGCAGAGTCGCAGCTGTTTCCGGCGCCGACGAACACGTCTCTCCTCCTCGCGCTGGCGGAAAAGAGATCGGTGCAGCAATTGTCGCCGCGACCGATGAGCGAGAGCGAGCCGAAGGAAACGGATCCTCCTCCTCCTCCTCCTCCTCCTCGGCTCGCAGGAGGCGAATTCGCCCGCCGGAGATTCCGCTTTCTTCGCACGGCTCGTGCCCTGGCCGCGTTGATTCCTCCCCCTCGGTGGACAAGAAGACGGCTCTCCCCCGCTGCGTCATTTCGCCACGCGAGCCTAACGACCCGAATGGGGCACAGCCGCTTTCTTCCCGGTGTGAGTCTCCAGGCACATCGGTCGCGCTTCGATCCTTCGTTTCTCGGCCACCGACGCCGCCGCGGTCCTCTCACCTCCGCGGCTTCCGCGGACACGCCGCGAATATGATACTCTCTGCGCGATTAACAGCGAATCGCGATCACCGGCACCGGCGAGCGGCGCGCCAGAGGGCGAGAGAGCAGAGAGAAAGAGAGAGAGAGAGAGAGAGAGAGAGAGAGAGAGAGAGAGAAAGAGAGAGGATGATCGAGGCTAGCTCTATCTGCCGCGAGAAGTCGACAAAGTTCCGCCGTTCCCGTTACTCCGCGCAACAGAGGCGCGTCAATACTTTCGCCACGGTGTCTATATCCTGTGCGCGTGCGTATTAAATATACGCGCGCACTGCGATACGCAATACTTTATTACACATTAAATCCGGCGAGCACAGTCATCGGCGACTTCCATGGCTCCCTGTAATTTCGCTGACAGGCAAATTGCGTATTCTCGCGCGCGCGCTCGTGACTGCTGCGCCATTTTTTCCCTCATCCTCCTCCTCCTCCTTCTCCTCCTCCTCCTCGTCCTCTTGCCGGAGAGGAGAATATATCTCGAGCGATTCGAGGACCGCGCGGCACGGCGCGGAACGGAACGGGAGACAAATGGCCGTAAAACGAGCGCGCTAATGATCGGGAAAATCGCCGCTTATTGAAAAGCATTAGATTACAGACGACGGTAAGACGATGCGAGAGCTCGCGCGTGGAGACGGATAATTGCGATTTGCGCGCCGCAATCTGTTGTTAGATAATACGCGGTACGATACTATCCCCCGCCGGCCGCGCGATTACCATACCCTGTCAGTCCGTGTGGACGCACGCGTGTGAACGCGCGTGCACGCACACACACACACACACACACACACACACACACATGCAAGTCAGTCGTCTCGATGCCACTTTAATGGCATCATCATCCTCGCCGATGACCGGCAGCGGCGCTCGTGGATCGCGCGCGATTACGTCGATTGCCCGCCGATTTCTGCGACTCCACAATCGATCGGGCCAATAAAGTCGTGTGTGCCACGCGAGCGACGGGGGGAGAGCAGGGGGAAGAAAAGTATTCGCGCGTACGCGAAGTACGCGCACACGCACCGAGAGGCGGCCGCTGCTTACGTCAGTGTTCTTAATAGCGGCCGATCCACTTTTAATAGTATCGCCGTCGTGAACGTCGCCGTGAGTCCTCCCCTCCCCCGCACCCGCTTCATTCACTCGATCCTACCCGCGCGACATACCGGAGTGATTGAATTAAATGAACACGTTGTGCGCGCCGATAAACATATAAACACGTTCTTTCCTTTTCCCGCGAGAGACATGGAGAGGGAGAAAGAGAGAGAGAGAGAGAAACGGCGGCTTACCTCACACTCCCGGCGATCGCTCTCGCCGTAAAATGCAAGAGACGCACATTTTACGACCATCGACGACTCCGCGCGTAACTTTGATGCGAATACGCGGGATACCGATAGTTAACGACGCGCCGCTCGTCGTCTCGTTCTCGCGAGAACGAGAAACCGCACACGCTCCTCTCCTCTCCCGAGCGGCCGCGCCGCGATCTCCCGTGCACGAGGAAATTAAATCGAGCGCATTACCGTCGCACGGAGGGCCTCGATCTCTCCCGGCCGGCCGCGATTACGCTCGCGATAGTATGCAAATGCGCGTGGTATCGTCGCCCTACAAAGTGTCAGCCCTCCCCCCTCTCTTTCTTGCCTGCCCCCGAGCCGATCCGATCGCTCCTGCCGACTCGCGAGCGTCCTGTAATGGACTCGGCCGCAAACGAGCGCCGTCGCGCGGTTCCTTCGCGAGGAAATCGCAGCCTTCTCTTCGAAGAAAAGCGACTTTATAATAATAAGGTAATGAAAAAAAAATTAATTCTTTTATTATCAATCAATCAATTAATTTTTTTTCATTTTTAATTTAATTTTCTTATCACCGAGCGCGACGCGCGGAGAAGACAACTCGTGTCTCGGACAGGGAAAGAAATTATGTTGCCGGCGCCGCCGCGAGAGTCGCCGGCGAGGAATGAAGGCGATTCGTTGCCGACGCGCGCGCAGATCGAGCGGCGAGCATCGCGCCGTTAAAACTCGCGATCGGTAGCGCGACGGGCGTGCGTTTAACTCGAGTATGAATCACCGCGATCTAACGATCGATAATACCGAGAGCGCACTCCTCAGCCGCTCGATATCGCTCCGGCCGGCTCGCACGGTCGCCCCGGCACTCGGAGCGTGAAAGTAACGAAACGAGTTGTTCGTACGTAAATTAATCGGCCGTTATCGTTAGCGGGATTAGTAGTATAAATGCCGCCGCGCGTATGCGCGGCCCACGCGATGTCGCCGCGTTTTAACGTCGCCGCGGCGGCGCTCCGCGCGCGCGCGCGCGCGGCGGCGCGAGGAACCGCGCGCGCGGCGGACAATCTCGGCGAAACTCCGCTTCGCACTTCATTCCGGCGCGCGAACGATCGTAATCGCGCTGTGTAATGATTTATACACTAGATACATTGATTTAACGACCGATGCCGCGCGCACGATACGCGATCGGCGGCGGCAGGTTGCGGCGCGCTCGCGTCAGAGAGCGGGGAGGGAGCGAGAGGCGAAAGAACCGCGAGCGTTATCGTTACAGATATCACCTTGCTAGTCAACGACTATAATTATAGCGACTGTATAACTGTAATTACGCGCGCTTTGAAAGCTCGGCCGATCCGCGAACGCGAGTCGCGATTTGCGAAGGCGCGCGATTTTCGTCCTTCGGTCCCTCGCGCGATCGCGCGATGAGCAATCTCGCAGATCGGTCATCGGACGAAGGTCCGGGAAAAGCATCCGGGTGCGACTTTTAACTTGTTGCTTTTTATATTTAGCTCGAATCTTGGTTCTTTACGCACACGCGTGCATATCGCCGACACTACTTTGTCGCTGAAAGCACGACAAAGCCCGACTCGTCGAGCGGCCCTAATTTCACTGAGATTAACCACATATTTCTTTTGCTTTTCTCTCTGAAGGAACAATGCCAGCCGGACTTGCTCCCGAAGGAGCAACGCGAGAGGGAACCACGGCTGCGGAGGGGACCACAGGACGCGCTGGATTTCTGCCGTGCACGCAGGCGTGCGCGGCAGGCTCGTCGACGTCCGTTCGACGGAGAAACCGCGCATTAAAGTGTGCTAAAGAGTGCTCTAGTGAACTTTTAGTCACGGCCACACCCAGCCTCCGTCCGAGGCTGGCAAGGCTGGACCTCTTACACACACCCACCCACACCCGGCACAGCGTGTGCACTTTCGTCCGAACAACTTCACGTAACGGGTGTCCGGAGCGGACACGGACACGCACACGCACGCACGCACGCACGCATGGATCGTTCGGAAGAGACGACGGCCGGCCGAAGAGAACGGTTCTCGCTTAACGAAGACGTTCAACGGAGATCGTAAAATTAATCGACGATAACGAGACGTCCCCGTCGCGGGGACTCGGAGACGATGATTAAGTAGGAATCAGCATGCGGACGCGAGACAGCGCGTTGTTACCAAGTACCATGATGTTATCCGCGCTACTTTCGATCCGGCCCGTTGCTAATCGTTACGCGAGCCTCCTGCGCGATCGTCTTTATGATCGCGCCACCGCCGCCGTCACCACGCGACGGTTTATTATTGTCTATCTTCTCGCGCCCGATTCTCATGCGTTACATCTCTAGAAAGATTTTATTTCATCTGTTAAGGCCATCGTGCCGACCTGCGTGACGCGGGAGGGGAGGCAAAGGGTTTCCCTCGTGTAAAATGAGGCGCGTGAAGAAGTCGCGCGAGCGGAAAGCGGCCGCTGACGATGACGACGACGACGACACAGATACCAACAACTCTCTCGTTACCGCGAAATAAATATCAAAAATTGTGACACCGCCGTTAGCGCGTTTGCTCCGCTCGGCGTCGCAGCTCCGACTGTAATTTACAATTTACGCAAATCGACATTCTACGGAACGTCTAATTATACAGCTTTCAACGAGCGGGAAATTAACGCCCGCCGCGGCGAAGCGGCCTTCCTCTCTCGATTAACGCACGCGTGTCGTCCTCTTTCTTTTCTCCTCGCGTCCGATAAAAACCTCCGCAAAGCGCCGCTACACATTTCCTACGATGGACGATTAATCCCCGTCCCGCGACTGTCAGCGTCCGCGATCGATAATTACGAGGCATCACCGACGGTCCAGGAAAGTCACGTTGGCTTGCGACAACGGTACGCTGGCTAATTCACGGTCACGACGAAACCGCGCGCTATCGCACACCAGCGTCAGCGCGTTCGTAGTCTCGTCCGCGTCGGGCCGCACGGAATCGTCTTTCTCTACTAGCGGCTATAAGCTCCTGAAGCCGTGGAGCGCAAACTTCCGTAAGCGCGAGCGTAAAACGCGAATTGTCGGTGAAACACACTTAGGTACCTATCAATGCCACTGATAGCTTTTAGATATACCACGTGATCGGGTAAAATAAATTGTATTTTTAAAAGCGCGATGTACATTAACAAATATATACGATAAACAATTTTATAGCTTGCGATGTATTTTATAACTTTGTATTTAAGTTTTTTACATAAATAACATTGTAATTTTATTACATCACATTTGTAATATATCCTACCAATGGCATTGATAGCTTTTGCGTACACCACGTGATCGGGTAAAATAGATTGTAAGTATTATATTTCTAATGCGCGATGTATATCGGCAAATATATATGATAAACACTTTTATAGCTTGCGATGTATTTTATAACTTTATATTTAAGTCTTTTAAATAAATAACATTGTAATTTTATTATACTACATTTGTAATATATAAAAGTATGTAGATTTTAAATAAAATAAACACAATTTTTATTATTCAAACACGTGTTTGTTATTGCACTCCTTTTAATTAATATCCTTTGTTTAGTTATTATCCTTAATCATATTTAAAAAACGAAATATTCCTGAGTTTTTCCAGCCACTTTCGCGCACATTATATTCTCCTGATACAAAAACGAGAAACTGAAGAATTTCAGTTTTCCGCATTTTCGAGTTTTGGTAAGAGGGAAGCATAATAACCGAAGAGGTATTCGAGCGACTTCCTCAATCATTATATTCTCCTATTAAAAAATCGAGAAATTGGAGAATTCGAGTTTTCCGCATTTTTGAGTTTTGTTAATAGGGAAGCATAATAACCGAAGAGGTATTCGAGCGACTTGCTCACTCATTATATTCTCCTGTTACAAAATCGAGAAATTGGAGAAATTCAATTTTCCGCATTTTTGAGTTTTGATAATAAGGAAGCATAATAACCGAAGAGGTGTTCGGACGGCTTGCTCACTCATTATATGCTCCTGTTACAAAATCGAGAAACCGAAGAATTTCAGTTTTCCGCATTTTCGAGTTTTGGTAATAGGGAAGCATAATAACCGAAGAGGTATTCGAGCGACTTGCTCACTCATTATATTCTTCTATTACAAAATCGAGAAATTGAAGAATTCGAGTTTTCCGTATTTTTGAGTTTTCGTATTAGGGGAGCATAATAACCGAAGAGGTGTTCGAACGACTTCCTCACTCATTATATTCTCCTGTTACAAAATCGAGAAATTGGAGAATTTCAGTTTTCCGCATTTTTGAGTTTTGATAATAAGGAAGCATAATATCCGAAGAGGTGTTCGAACGACTTCCTCACTCATTATATTCTCCTGTTACAAAATCGAGAATTTGGAGAATTTCAATTTTCCGCATTTTTGAGTTTTGGTAATAAGGAAACATAATAACCAAAGAGGTATTCGAGCAACTTGCTCACTCATTATATTCTCCTGTTAGAAAATCGAGAAATTGGCGAATTTCAGTTTTCCGCATTTTCGAATTTTGGTATTAGGAAAGCATAATAACAGAAGAGGCATTCGAACAACTTCCTCACTCATTATATTCTCCTGTTAAAAAATCGAGAAATTGGAGGATTTCAGTTTTCCGCACTTTTGAGTTTTGTTAATAGGGAAGCATAATAACCGAAGAGGTATTCGAACGACTTCCTCACTCATTATATTCTCCTGTTAGAAAATCAAGAAATTGGAGAATATCAGTATTCCGTATTTTTAAGTTTTCGTATTAGGGGAGCATAATAACAGAACAGGTGTTCGGACGACTTCCTCACTCATTATATTCTCCTAGTACAAAATCGAGAAATTGAAGAATTCGAGTTTTCCGCATTTTCGAGTTTTGGTATTAGGAAAGCATAATAACCGAAGAGGTATTCGAGCGACTTCCTCACTTATTATATTCTCCTGTTAGAAAATCGAGAAATTGGAGAATTTCAGTTTTCCGCATTTTTGAGTTTTGGTAATAAGGAAACGTAGTAACCGAACATGTAATCGAGCGACTTCCTCACTCTTTATATTCTCCTATTACAAAATCGAGAAATTGGAGAATTTCAGTTTTCTGCATTTTCCAGTTTTGGTATTAGGAAAGTATAATGATTGAAGAGGTATTCAAACGACTTCCTCACTCATTATATTCTCCTGTTACAAAATCGAGAAACTGAAGAATTTCAGTTTTCCGCATTTTCGAGTTTTGGTAATAGGGAAGCATAATAACCGAACAGGTATTCGAGCGACTTGCTCACTGATTATATTCTCCTGTTAGAAAATCGAGAAATTGGAGAATTTCAGTTTTCCGCATTTTCGAGTTTTGGTATTAGGAAAGCATAATAACCGAAGAGGTATTCGAGCGACTTCCACACTCATTATATTCTCCTGTTAGAAAATCGAGAATTTGGACAATTTCAGTTTTCCGCATTTCCGAGTTTTGTTAATAGGAAAGCATAATAACTGAAGAGGTATTCGAACGACTTCCTCACTCATTATATTCTCCTGTTAGAAAATCGAGAAATTGGAGAATTTCAGTTTTCCGCATTTTTGAGTTTTGTTAATAGGGAAGTATAATAACCGAAGAGGTATTCGAACGACTTCCTCACTCATTATATTATCCTGTTACATAATCAGGAAATTGAAGAATTTCAGTTTTCCGAATTTTTAAGTTTTGGTATCAGGAGCATATAAGTATAAAAGAGGTAGCGCGAGTTTCTGGCAGGAAAATTAAAATGTTTAACTTTCGAAATGGCTTAATATTGGGAAAATATAATCAGTAAAGAGGTAAGGGGGTAAATCAAGATTTTTAATGTTTCGGTGTTTGGACATTATAAGGACGTAGGATGTGTAAAGAGGCGGCACACAAATGTAAAAAAGACAATTATTTAATGTTTATATTCATTTTATTCTTACGTAAGTTTTATAAAGCAATATAGTATATAATATATAAATATAAAATAATGTACAATGTAATGTATAAAGTAATATAAAAATATATAGAATAAAATATATATTTCGTGCTTTTCTTCGTCTTTGCTCCACGTGTCCGAAGCCTGTCCGAATGGATGAAGGACACTTCTGTCGAATGGATGAAGGACACTTCTATCTCCCGGTGATGTTCGCGTTCCGGGATCCGGGTGTGTCTCCGGCTGTATTGAGGAGATATGTATGCACGCCTCGGCCGCTTTTTAAACGCTTTTGAGTCACGAGAGTTTTTCGACGTGCGGTCTTCCGACGAACATTGCGTACTGGAGCATCTTATTAACTCGCATCCTATCTTATTGTGTTTCCCTTTCTCCGTTTCTCTCTCTCTCTCTCTCTCTCTCTCTCTCTCCCTCGTTCCATGTTTTGGATCTTACTTAATCTCTCTGTCAATATCTTGTAACTGATATTTCTTTCTCTCTCGCACCCGCGCGAACGTTGGCGTATGACGTATCAGTGTACGCGCGCGCTTTTGCTTTTTCCGTGAAGTTAATATTCGCGCTACTTTACATATCGCAAATTGATGCATGCTTTCGAGCTTACTGCTGTTACTTACTGCTCTCTCTTTTTGTTTCTCTCTCTCTCTCTCTCTCTCTCTCTCTCTCTTTCTCTCTAACTCCAAGTCCCTCTCCCTCTCTCCTCCTGCGTTTCTTCTCGCGACCGCCTCGTGCGAGACACACTCAGGTATCAGACAAGTCGAGTAGTAGTATCCAGGTGTGTAACACCGCCGAGTCGTGTGGCATTTAAATCGTTTTACAATGTTGCTCCTGCCACGTTGCTGCCGTCCGCGTGTACGCACGCACATGGGTGCGCGCATGCCCTCATGCGTGAATACACGGGGCACTCTCTATGCTCGAGTGAGATTGCGCACATGGAAAAATACGTCCTACTACCGGTACTATTCTCTTTTGTCCCTTCTCCCCCTCCCCATCGCTGTTTCTTTCTCTCCTTGGAACAATTAAAAACACACGAGCGAAACGTCGCGCGGTGCGCGACGCAGATACCGACGGAACGCGCGGGCTTAGAAGAAATATACATATTGGTAAGGTGCGAGTGATTATATTTGGGACACTTGCAATTAGGAAACTTAATCAAGTATGACACCGCAATGTAATCTCGTTTGACTCGACCGCGGAAATTCTTTTCCTCACGCTCAGCGCCGAGCGCACTTTCGAGCGGCCGCGTTCGCGCCGACCGGTCACGATTTCGCGCTAAGGAAACGCACGCACACACGCACGCGATCGATATTCCGACGATTGTTCCGATTCGTTTCCGGTAATTAATCCCTCGACGACGTCCGAGCCGCGAGAGCAGCTAGAAATACGGGGAGAGAGTCTCTGCGCGCAGAACTGCCGTGATTGTATGATAATATACGGCGCGATGTCTCGCGCGTGTGTATGCGTGCGTACGTGCGTGCGTACGTGCGTGCGTACGTACGTGCGTAGGGATACGTGTGTGCGTAGGAAGATTGTGCAACTGTCCTACGCGCATACGTGCGTCAGACAATACAGGACACAGGCTCGTTCGCTCGCACGCATGTGCGCGCGCGCGCGCGCGTACACACACACACACTCGCGCGCGTGCCCAGTACGACAGGATTGAATATCCTGTTCGGCTTATTAGGGCAAGGTGGCCAGCCTTGCTACTTTGATACCGGTATCAATGATAGCGTAATGCACCGGCCGGCTCGAGCCGGCGCGGGCGTTTAATGCCGTAACGTTGCGAGCTAATGGCGAGCCACGCTACGCGATCTGATCTGTCGAGGGAGAATGAGTGAGAGAGAGAGAGAGAGATAGATAGATAGAGAGAGAGAGAGAGAGAGAGAGGGGCTTTGTGATTCGCTTTAATACACGATTTATCACTCAGCCAAGGAATAAATTACGTCGACAGCGCCACGACGCATCGGTCGCATCGGTACAACACCTTTATTTTCGAGTGGACACGGACGCTCGTTTTCTCTCCCCCCCCCCTCCCGCCGTCGCTCGCTCGACGAAAAGCGACGCGGCGCGATCGCATCGGCCGTGAAATTCGATCGGCGGATCGAGAACGGTTTCGGTGCTCGGAGTCGATCCGAGCAGCCGGAGCGCGGTTTCCACGCAGTTGGCAGTTCCACTCGCGCGACCTCCGCCGCCGCAAACGTTCTCGCCACCTGGCTGACTTTTCAAAAGTCCTCCGAGCCCGCTGCTCATTTTTCCTTCCTCGCTTGATAATTTATGCAACTCGCGCACCCGCGGCGCAACGCGTTACACGCGTTATCGCGGGATATGTTAATTGGAAACGCGACTTGTTACAATGCTCGCATGATTTGCCGCGCCATTTTAAATTATAATGGGGCCAGCGCGACAGCGCGCTGAGAAAAAGC